AATACTGCTTCACACTATAAAAAAGAAAAAATATCTTGCATTAGAATCCTTCAACATCTGCATACTGCTTCACACTATAAAAGAAAAGAAAAAAAAAAGTGCGAATTAGAATTTTTGTTCGTAACATCTTAATCAACATTAAGACATTTTAATGCTAAATTAAAATGTTATGTCCATTACAACTAGAAATAAGATTTTTAAAAACTTGCAAAATTACAAAGTAAAACAATGTAAAATTCAAGAAAAATGATTAATAGTAAACCAGACATTAGTAGGATGGAATTAAGAAAATAAAATTCAGAGTTGTTAATATTTGGTAGAAAAGACAAAGAAAGGCCAGTAAGGTGTGAAATGCTGCATTTTACAGCACCAATCATTTGTCCTGTAGAGGCATGGCCTGTGCCATATGGCAGACTGTGATTTGTTGTCGATTTAGTTATCTAAAAACAACAAAATCACTAGTCTTCCACACAGAACAAGGCCAACATCCACTGAATCTTCTATATTTTCTACAGGCTCTGTATAATTTATAACAAGTAGTTTTGGCAGCAGTTTTCACCAGAGAAATGAGAAGTTTGCTTGGTTAAGGCTTCTTCCAGCAAGATTAGTATTGAATGTCTTCATTTTTAGTAAGAAAGCAGAAGAAAATCAAGGCAAAGCTATTAGAATGTTTAGAAGTTAGGTCCCCAAAAGGTTGAGACACCATGGCTTCTAAAAGAAAAATCAATTGAGAAGAAAAGCTTAAGGTTTTAGTATTATACAGTCTAACACAAAGCTAAACTTAAACTGACCTGTTCTGCAGTAAATACTGTGCATTCTGTATCTGGTCCTGTGTTCCTGTAATGGTAATGATCCGATCTTCGGAGCCTTCTAAAGGCTCATCAATTTTGATCGAAGCTCCTGATTCATGACGTATTTGTTTAATTCGCTGACCTCCTTTGCCAATAATAGAACCAGCCAACTGAAAAAATGTTAAAAGTGCTTATAATATACCTTTAAAGAAGATTACCTGTATTTCCAATGACCATTTAAGACTTCTATGGTTTATGCAGACTTATTATTTAATGTCCTTTTAATTACCATGCCCTGCACATATTAACATTTCTCTTAATGGAGGGCTCCAAAACTTTTGACTGTTTTTACTGGCAAGGAAATCACTTGACAAGACACGAACTGCTCAATGACTCCTCACTAGTCCTTACACATAATTTCAGTTACACAATAATTGTTAAAAACTTAAAAATTTAAAGAAAACTTACAACAATATAAAGTAAGACATTAAATGTTCTTGAAAAAATTAAAGATACTTACATCTTTGGGAATAGTTACTTGTGTAGTAATAATAGGTCCACCAAGATCACCATATGATCCACGACCCCCTGCATAGGAATAATCTGATTTAAATAATAAGTAGTAAGTTCATTTAAATAGCATGAAAAAAAAAATGCTTGATTTCACAAAGGAGAAAACTTACCATATCCAGAGCCACCCTAAAACAAAGAAAAAATAAAAAATTACTCTGCCTTCTAAAATACTCAGAATTTTAATATTAAAAAACGAAAAACAGAAACACCAAAACCCCTGCATTAGGAAGCCAAACACCTCCCTCATCATCTTCCTAGTTTATTTCTAGTAAGTACATTTTAGAAGACAATCCGCAGGGGAAGAATAAAAAGGATTCATGTATGTACACAGCATTAGAAGAAACGAAGATGCACGAGGGCAAACAACTTTCTGGTGGTGAGTGGGTAAGAACCTTAAATTCTGGTATGCACACAACACTCATGATACTCAACCTGAGGTTCATAAGCCATCTGCCATTCGGATGGGCTCCATGTATCTATTGCAGAATCCCAAGTTTCATCAGCACTGAAGCCAACCTGTATTGAGGGAGAGACACTAACATGAGCCACCACTATATGTCAAAGAGCTATTTTTATATACTAATTTGTTTTAACATCCCTAGTTAAACTCATAGAATAATTATGTACTGAGAGAACAGATAGTTCAACTCCAGCAGCAAACAGAAGTAATGATTTAAATGGATTCATAAAAATTTACCAGTAAGAATAATCATTAACAAAATGTTTATCTAACTCTAAAAACCCATACAGCCCTCATATACATACTGGTGAAAAACCGAAGTTCTTACCATGCCATCGTAACGGTCCCCAGGTCTTCCTCTTCTGTCGTAAGCCATTAAATCTCTGCAAACATAATGATTGTAATCTCAGTTTACACGTCACACACATCAAGTCAAAGTCTACCCTATCTACCACTAAGAGCAGTCTCTTCTGTTAATTAGCTGATGAAAAAGACTTACCCTCCTCTAGGTGGTGGTGGTGGAGGGAGAGGAAGATTCCGAGCTCTGCTACCGCCCCGGCCCCCTCGTCCAGGAGGAGGAGGAGGAGGTCCTCGACGAGGGCTCATATCATCATAATCTCTTCTAGACGGAGGCATGGGACGTCCACCCCGACCAGGAGGCATTCTGTCAAAACCACCTCTCCCCCGCATGGGAAATCCCACAGGACGTCCACGGCGGTCATCAAACATCATGGTAAAACCACCATAATCATAGGTTTCATCATAAAAATTGGGATCATAAGGCTGTGCACGTCCTTTGATAGGAGACTGAAAAAAAATTAAGTAAAATAAAGTGTAACCTTTAAAGAGCCTCAGTTCACTTCAACCCTTCCAACCAACATAACAAGGCAATTATTTTCCTTAAGATATACTAGAGACAGGGACAGAAATACAGACAAAAGAATGGATTTTAAAAATGCAATACTTTTGACAAGTCCAAAAAAAAAAAAGTTTTACTGCCCATCTGAGATAAAAAGGCTTTTATCCTTAGACCTTAAGACTCTCTCCCATTTTACACATGAAAAAATAAAATGTAAATGGGGTATATGAAGTGAGCATCCTGTGGGTTGAGGGAGTATTTCAGGCAAGCCTATGGCACATTTGTGCACAATGTAATATGAAGAGCATTATATGGAACTTCATTTAAGAACCAAAAGTTATAGAAAATACCCACCAATAATAAAGTGACCACCCTCAATACGTTCCCAAAACTATTTCCAAATCATACTGACGACTGAAGACTAGTGACAGAAAAATAGCTAGGGAAAGGACTAGTAAATACACTAGAATCTATACATTCTGAAACTATTTTCAGAGAAAATGAACAGTTTCATGAAAGTGAATACAAACAGAGTACTGTGAAGATACCTCAGATATAAGATCAAGGATGATCTTTATACACTCTACAACTCTATCAGGCTTTCCTCCAATAAGAACGACTCTGTCAGTGGAATGAGGACAGCATTCCTGGAAAAGCTTGATTGTTGTCTGAGTGTTCTGTAATAAAATTAATGAGAAAAATTAAAACCAAAATGTACTAAAAATAGGCCTTAGGTTTACATAAATTCACAACTGAAACCAATAATTTTTCTCCCCAATATAACAGTTAATAATTACTAAAGACTTTGCATCCAAATAAACTTAACAAATCTAACATCTCCAAGTCTTTTGTTATTAAAACAGCAAATTAGATTAAATAACAAAATTCTAGGAAGGGGAAAGACACAGACTTAAGTCTGTATGAAAAAATATATTTTACTAAGAAACAGGGCAGAGTGGGGAGAAACTTTTACCTCTCGAAGTTCTTTGATTTTAGCACCTTTGACCCCAATAATTCCTCCTGCCAAACTCTGATGAATCAACAGTCTCAACTCGCAGTCGAAGTCGCTTCCTTTATAGTGTTGGTACTGTAGAGGGAGAGTTATAGAATTTTAGTCTCAAATCAACTACTTCCTAATACACACTTATCTGCTATAAGCATAACAATATACTGTTGCAGTGAGCAACCTGAATTTATATTTCAATAACTTTACCAGTTATGTGCTTATTATCCTCAATAGCCAGGCCCAAAAAGGACATTCTGCACCACCTTAAAAAACTATTTTATTTTCAGGTCCTGCAACACCATACCCACACTGCAGCCATTTAGCATGTCGCTGTTACCACAATTATTTATTAACATTCAAATAACACCATATAAAAATGACTGCAAAGCACTTTGCAAATGTAGTTAATTCCCACTGCAGCATGGAGCAGGGTCAACAGTGAGTTGTAAGACCATTCATGTATCATGTTTTTAAGCCTTTTTCTATAGACATGGGAAAAGCACACTATGTTAAAAAATAGAATCAATCCTATGGGCCAGGCTCCATACTTCAGTGGGGTTCAATGGCACTATGACATACATTTAAGCATTCCACAGCATCAGATTCGAGCGGGAGCTGGCTGGTTGCAGTGGGTGATGGCAACTGCAGGCCCTGAAAGTAGAAAAATAAGAGTAATAGGTTAAGTGTCTAGCGTGATCAGGCTATTGTCGCATATATTGGTAAAGCTACTACAATTAAATCTTTATCAAGTAGAGAAACTCATCAACTTTAAAAACTTGACAAAATAATGTTCTTCTCTATATACTTAATGGTTACAGGATCTAAAAATCTTTTAGAGCTTAAAACCCCTTTCAGCATGTTTTCACGTTTTATTTTAAAACATCTCTAAAATAAAGCTTGTAATATATACTAAGTTCATGAAAATACTTGACCATAGGCATTCCACATTTACTCCAGGAATTATCGAACTGTATTTTTTAAAAAAATGCCATGTATAGTAATGCTGCACATCAGGTAGCAGGTTATAAAATGTTTTTGCTATAAATGGTTACATTCACTGTCCCCACCTCCAACTCTGCCCTTCCCCACATAAATTAAACTTATTCTCCCACATACTTTCAAATAAATTTAAAAAAAAAAGAGAGAGAGAGAGAGAGAGAGCAAGCAAGCCAACCTCTTCCAAGGTAGGGATGATTTTCTTCAGAATTTCTCCAATTGTTTCAATATCAGCACTGATACTCAATATGCTGTCAAACATCACAAATATCAGATAGTACAAAAAAGGTAGAAAAGAAAAATGAGTATTCTGTTTGCCACCAATAGTCATACAAACTTTTTCAGAGAGGTAACATACGATTATTTAATATTCCCCATTTAAAGTAGCCTATTTATAGGTTTTTCACATGCATTTTGCTTTATGCCCAATACAGACATGATAACAATATTAGGAGACTTGCAGAGAGACAGAGAGAATGGGCTTTTGGAAGGGCTCAGATTAAGTGGGCAATAAATTGACCAGAACTGAAGCAGAGTTGAATATTTATGTTCCCCGCCACCACTAAGGATACCCTCGCTGTTACACTGGCAAAACTGGCACACCTTCTCTTAGGCAAAGTGGGGGAATATGCAAGTGGTGAACATTATATCTGGAGTAAGATTATGGATACCAGTTAGAAATTAGATCACTAATGGGCTCTGCAAGAAAACAAATACAAATGCAAGACAAAACAAAGACAACACAAATGAGAAGTGAAGGAAGTGAACCAGAGTTAGCATCTCATCAGAAAAAATTATGAACAGGCAATGTTGGGAAGCAAGGTGGGCCACAAAGACAGAGCGAGAGACTATTTTGGTAACAATTTGATTTACAATGCAGCATATATGCAACACTTGAAGCTGTGCTCCTTCCATTGAAATAAAATTAGTGGATCGTTTGGGTGGGCAACTCACGGTAAAAGTTCAGTGACAAAAAGACTTAATGGGGAAAATAAGACAGAAACTTGAAAAACAATACACCGTCTAAAGGGAATACTATTTAATTATATAAAAGGCAGGTAATAAAATACATTTCTCTCTTTCTAATCAGGCAGTGAGGCATAAACTGTTGGGACATACCGCTCGGGGCCACTGCTGTCTGGGACTGAAACACTGGCATTGTACTGCATTGGTCATTGGCGTTCGTGGATGTTGGCATTGGGCATGGGCATTCAATCAGAAGTTGTCAAGTATGGTACCCGTTTGGCAACGAGCACATTTTTGGGCATAGCCAACCAGGGTTTCACATGGGCGTTCAGGGGCGGATGGGCCAACGTCATGGTGGGCAACGCAGGGGTAAGTCGATCCAGTACATGGGCAACGGAGATATATGGCCAAAAAAACAAGGAGAGGGAAAAGGGGGAAAAGCAATAAATTTTAATTTAATACAAACTATACTCATACTCTCAATTAATGAAACAAGCTTAAGTTGTTCTGAAGACTAACACAATAATGGACTTCTCTATATCTGACCGTGGCTTAACATTTAAGGACCTCAAATGATGGTTAGTTTTTCTTTCTTTCTTTTTTTTTTTTAAAGAAACAATCAATGTTTCAGTAGCAGGCTGGCTCATGAGGGTAGACACAAAACCTGTCATGACTCAAAGTTTGCTGAAATTCTTGAGGAAATGGGGAAATAACCCAGATAATTATACAGAACATCTGGATTAAGAGGAGAGAGGTGTATAAAAAAAAGACAAAACAAAAATTCCCACACCACCATAAAATGCTAACTAGTAAAAGATTGGTTTGGTTTTCTGGAGGTTTAAAATGCATTCCTATTTCAAAAGGTAGGTTTGTAAAATTTTAAACAAATTTTGAAGTTCAGTTCATAGTAATCAGGAGGAACATACAAAGATCTGCGACCAAGAGAGAAATGAAATACTTCCAAATAAGTACTCAACACAAAGTTATTTGCCTTAACTTTAGCAAGAAAAACATTTAAGAAATGTGTACACTGAGAAAAAATTTAGAAATTTTGGTGTAGCCAAGTCCTATAATATGCTCACTTCTGATGCTGCCAACATTTAATGTGTCTAATCACAAGAGTCAACCCACTATAAAATATGAAGACTCAAACAAATCATAGGCATCGACACATGGTTTCCAATTATAAATAAGATCAAAAGTCTTTTCTATGCTTTAACCCATATCATACAGTCTAAACACTAAATTAGTTGTGTTCCATGTGTAAACTGTTTAAGAACAGATGGACAATTAAAAAAAAAAGGAAATAAAAATTTCTGGATTTAATCAGCCACCTGCAATAACTCTCAGTAATACTGTAATTGATTAACACACATGGGAAATAGTGCAATTAAGAGTTTTCACACTTTGTTGCTATAAGTTATCTTACTTAAAGTGAGTAATTTGGTGGAATTTTAATAGAAAGCGAAAAGGTTTAAAATATAAACCTTCCACCCTACTCAATCTGGGCTTTGTTGAAACAGGAATGGCAAACCTTGAAATCATCTAGGTAATCATTACAATTGGCTCGTAACTAGACTATTAAATGACTCCTATGATGTAAATCTTTAAATTTCTAGAAACAAATAAACCAAAGCTGCTTGCGTAATACATTCAACTCTTTAATACTTACGTCTGTTCGCAGAGCCTTAATATTCTTGCCTCCTTTTCCAATCACTGCCCCAGCATTCTGGATTAGAAAAACTAAGAATTACTTTGTTTACCTTCGCTCTCAGCTCTAACCAAAACACCCAAAAAACCCATGTCCACAACTCTTAACCTGTTTTAAGGCTGAAAATCTACTTGGCATATCAAAAAGTGAAAACCCAAAAACAACAAAACCCACCAAGACTACATGGCTTTGAGGAATTGACCCTTTTAGCAGGGCCTAGAACTCAAGCACTAAGGTAACTTTTTATAAAACAAATTAGAGAATTTAAATATTAGTAGGTACCTCCATACCGAGGCATATAATAAAGCAATTTAGCAAACTGCCAACTAAGATGAATGAACCCACAATGTCATCAAGATGTAATCCATTAATGATTTAAGAATAACCCCCATCCTTCTCCTAGTTTAATTGGTAGTGGCTGACTATAATTTCTACTGGAGTATGTACCATTTTCAGAAAGTTTATACCTTGCTCTGAAGCAGAATGCGTAATTCAACCATCTCATCAGTGTTCCTAGATCTTTTAAATGCTTGCTCCTCTTCCATGTCTTCTGCTGGGCGTTTACCTAAAAATCAACAGTTCACATCTCAAGAAAGCAGCAAAGTCTTAAAGAAAAGTCACTTTAATTACATTAGCATTAACTCCTAGGTTAGAGAAAACTTCATTCTGTTTGAAGAGATTTGTTGCTAAACAGTGGTTTCAACAAGGCCAGCCAAAGGCAATGTTACAGGTTTGTTACGGTCTGTTCTAACAGTATTTACCAAACACAAGATACATGAAAAATACCTCAAAGGAATAAACTCCAAAATGCAAAGAAAGACTTTCTACCTTTTTGGTCTACAGATGCCCATGCAAATCAGTTACTTCTATTTCATAAATGAAAGTAAGCTATAACAAATACTCCAGACTATGAAATAAAAATTAACCATCATACGTTAAACCACACATCATAAAATGACAAAGTTAGCAGAATAAAAACCATCAAAGTTTTACTATTAAATTGTTTTCTCACCAAATTCACCATTTGTTTCAGTGTTGGGGAAGGTTTCCTCTGGCTGTTCGGTTTCCATTTTCTTGTATTAAAAGGACACACCAATCTGCTAAAAGATAAAAAAGCTAGTACACTGGGCTCATTGCAAAAGCAAGCTGTACATCTTACTATAAAAAAAAGAAAAAAAAAAAAAGACTCTACTTCCAGAACGTACCAATTATATATTCTTGCAGGGCAGAACTGAAGTGTTCTGGGCGGGAGCAACTGACACCCTAGCGCTGCAGTAGCCTATAAAAATCAACAGTGAATCAATTTTGCTTTTCTTGTTTACTATTACTGCATACTGGTTTCTGATTATGAACACTAACTCAAACAAGGAACTGTATGCCTATCTCAAGAACTTGGATTTTAGGGCCTTAAAAATCTAAATTATGCCCAATAAAAATTCACTTACGATTTTAGCCAGTGGATCCAATACTATACCACGGCAAGCAGTTTTGAAATATTTATTCATATACACTGGAAAAAGCCCAAGACTCTGTGCCTCAGCTTTGCCCACAGTACAAATTTGGGAAAAAGATACAGTCCATCTTATTTACTGAAAACAAAACAGAAATTTCAACTCGCTTTTAGGTTTCTAGGGGCTTATTTGAAAAGCTCTTCTCTGGAATCTCTTATGAACTTTACAAACGGCGAATACAAACCATATCCACCACCTAGATCCACCAGAGATATGAAATCTAAAAACTTGAAAAAGGACCTGACTCGGACAGCCCTTATTATTTTATTATTCAAAAGTACTAAGCCTGTCATTGAACACTAATACTGTCACTAGCGGAATTATTTCAAATTAGATTACAGAGAGCAAAACCCAACAGTTGTATCTCTAACGCAAAAGCTAAAGACTGCACGTGCCAGAAAGGGGACAGAATAGCAAACAGTCTTTCAGCTACCCTCTCGGGACAGGCAGACCGAGCCGACATGTGGCCCTTAACTAGAAATAGGCTAAGGGCTAGACCACATACATGCTTTAGGAAAAGAAAAAAATTAAGGCGACATCTCCTAACAAACCGAAACGGTCTCCTACTGGCCTACCACTCAGGCAAATCCTGAGGAACAATAAACATCGGGATAGAGACGTTAAGGCTCCAAGACCACGGTGTTATCTCTAAGGATAACGTCGCCGCGCGCGGCTCACCCCTCTGGTCCGATAGTCCCCGTTCTCCAGACCGCACCCCCAGCCCGCAAATAGCGAAGTATGTGCTCGATCAGCCGTGCGCAAACATGCCCTCCCGGCTTTCCCTCCCGGTACCGGGATCCGCAACCGCCGGATAACAGCAGTTGAGAAACCGCGTTGGCAGCGGAGGCGCCGCACCTCTCCTCACCCGGATCCGACAGGAAATGGCGGCCCGCGTAATGGCGACTACGTGCTACTAGGCGGAGCCGAGCGCGGACCCCCTCCCCCACCCACCACGCGGTCCGGGGCGTTCATCCCACCGCGATGTTCTCCACCGCCGGCGACTCCCGCCCCCAAAGCCCTTCTCCTTCCTACACAAGGTCCCGAGCGCCCCAGTACTACGTTAACTGCAGCTCATCCGAGAGGCACATGCCTGGCGATCACCCGAAGTCGCTAGCACCACAACGCGGACTGCGGATATACGCTCAAGGAAATGGCGGAGGTGGGGGAGGGGCACCCAGCAACGTTCCCCCTCCGAGGAGCGTCCAACCACCAAGCAGCGCCCCAGAACGCCAACCTCGAGCGGAAAATCTGGGCTCTGACCCTCACCCTCGCGCGCAGCTAGCCCAACCCCGCTCCTCACCGCGCGAGGCCACCGTCCCTTCGCCGCCGCGCCGCCTCAGCCGGTCACAGCTAGACCAAGATCGCGCGCAGGTCCCCTCCCCCTCGCGTCCGCCTACCCGCCGCCGCGCCCTCCCGATTGGTTGCCCGGGCTTCGGCGGTGGTGCGAGGGTGAGGCGATTGGCCCAGGGCCGCGTCGATCAAAGCGACGAAGGAGGCGTCAGCCCCGCCTCCCGCCGGCGCCTCCCTTCTAGCTGTAG